TAGTTCTAGAAATGTATTCAAACTAGCACATTCTTTATAAGATGATGCCTCATCAGCATATTTAAAGATAAAAATTACAGAAAACTTGTAATCATCTTAATGTGAGTAATCAACTCAGAAAGTTTAGTGGTGAACTCATTGTAAATCTTTACCCTGTGCACCTGCAGTGTTTCAACTGTTGGTGCATGGTGTTAATTGGCTTCAAATAATTCTTTCAACTGATTACTACACAAAATATAATTTGGTTCGAGCACTTCAAAGCCGTTGACATTTTCGTAGTGGAGCAGTTGTTCAAAAAAAGGGTTATTAGTTTTCCTGTCTAAACTGGCTGGGGAAATCAGAATCTTGGAGATCCTGAATGATGCTCTTTGCAAATGAACTCTTATATGCACAAAAACACAGCAGGCTGCAGTTCCTCCTGATCACACTTCAGTACTCTTCTCTATGTAACAAATCCTTGAAAGGAACCCCAGGTGATTCATCCCCCACATTTTCCACCTGTGCCAAAGATGACTAATCTGTGGCCACCTCCGCATTATAGCCCTCCTCCTCCTCTGCTCTGCACTGACACTGCTGTGACTGCTGTGCTGGCCTCAAACAGCCCCGAGCATCCCTGCAGGAGGACTGATGGAAACAAACACATGGTCCAGAGGTGGCAGCCGGCAAGTCGCTTTATTGTTCTCTTTGCCGCGTTACTTCTTATGTGTACTTTTTTCTTTTTTTAGGTGCTTATTCTGAGTTTGTTGAAACACTTGAACATCACAAAAACATTATTCAGAAAATAAAAACGGGACTGTGTGAAGCATAAAACCCCTGCATCTGTCTGCAATGAATGAGTTTTCAGATAAGACTACATTGTTATTGTGGTGATAATAATTAGAGGTAAACTAGACAGTGGCTACTTGTTGATCGTGCCAGATTTTTGTGGTTAATATTTCAATAGGACAGATACTTTACTATGACCTCTTCACAGAAGGAAACCATGAATATTTTTAATTAAGGATGATCACATCTACATTTATCACTACCCAAGATAAAGAATCTCATATTCTGCTTCAGGTTCAAGTGTTTCTGTCAAGTGAAGTCTGTGCTTTACCTGCCTGGAAGACCAAATTCAACACAAGCGCCAACATTTTGGAGAGTTTGGGAGACTAAGATTGATGTTAAACTGAACTATATTAAAACATAAGTGATTTTCATAACAGCTCCAAACAGACGTTTTGGTGAACATATTTTTTTTTTAACTACAAGCAAATTTTTCACAATATTTTTTACTGGATTGCAAAGAGGACAGAAATATGTGCTTCATTCACACTTTAAGAACAACTTTTTTGCAACAGTTGCTCTATTTATTTAAACAAAGCACAGAAACAGTTGTCTATTTTACACTATTTTCTAACACTACAGCTATAGAAATAATACTTTGTCTCTTGTAAAAGTGTGGTGCGTGATCCATTACATCTCAGTATTATTTAAATGTCAGGGATTCTAAAGCGTACCACCTTACAGTTGCTGACTTCTTGGTTTAACAGTAGTAGCAGTTTAAATGACAAATGGTCTGCACTTATATAGCGTCTTTCTACCTTAGTGGTACTCGCAGCACTTTACCACGTTTTTCATTCACCCTTTTTTTTTAACATTTACACTCACACACCAATGTTAGCAAAGCTGTAATCTGAGGTGTTTGCCTGCCATTGGGAGCACCTTTCAGTTTAGTGTCTTGCCCAAGGACACTTGACATGCAGACAGGACAGGGATGGTACCGCCAATGGTCGACCCACTCCACAACCGGAGCCACAGTTTAGAGTTACTGTGTTAAAAATACAGGAAACACAGTAGGAACAAAAGTCAGTACACTTTTCATTACTGGAGAAGATTATATTTTCCGTACTTCATGTATTCAACTTTATTTTTGATGACAGTTCTCGTCAGCATGGAGGATACCAACTTCCACCAATTTCTGCAGACGCTTTTCCATTCTTGAGACCATTTTTTTCAGCTGCTCTTTGCTGAACGGGTTGTGTTACTCTACCTTTCTCTATAACAGTATTCAAATGGATTCAAGTCTTTGCCAGGTCAGATCCTGCAGTGTGCCTTGAATCATTCTCATGCTGGAATAATCCTCTCCTGCCAAACAACTTAAATCAGAAGACATGTCAGTGATACAGCACAGCACACAGGTATAATGTATAGCTCCAGTATAGCAGGACAGAGCTTCTTCAGTACAGTTCAGTGTTAAAAATGTTTTTGTGTTGAGTCATGTTATTATCGTTTCCTGCCATCTCTTTGAGCAGCGGCTACTGCATAATTAGAGAGAGAGAGGAGAAGAAAAAAAAAGAGTGAGTAGGTTTCTGGCTCTGGCTGTGAGAACAGTTAAAATGCAATCAGGTGAATCAATGTGATGGAGAACAACAGGAGCCGGAGGCAGCTACAGGTCAAATCCAAACCTCTCACCCTCTGCTCGCTGTGTAGTTACTCACCGCAAGATACAATCAGACAGTAGCTGTGCTGGAGACAGCAAAGACAAATCCACTTCCCCTCTGACTCAAAGTAAGCTGCTATTAGTGTTTGAGTCAGTAAGGAAAACATTATGACAAATTGTCTTACTCTTTAAAAAGTAAGCAAGAGATCCAGATACTTATAACACAAAGACAGCACCACGGATCAATATGGCATTTATTTATTTCAGAAACTTTAATACTGTGATCACTGCAAATGTCTTTTTCATACCTTTACATTTTACAAAGACAATGGATCTGGGATGTAAACAGTACTTTCAATTCTGTAAAACGTATGGTCCTCTTCAAATTGTGAGTTTTATCTCCAGTCAGAGCTGATCACCTTCCTGCTTAGTTTGTTCTTCCTGCAGGAGGAAATAAAACGGATCAGGACACAGCAGTGCAGGCTGCATCTCTGAGCTTTGTGAAACCTTCCTCCCTTGCTGCAATCACTGACCTTGCAAGTTGTGCGTGACTGAAAACCAGCATCCCTATGGCGCAAACTCCATCCAGCCTGCTCTTGTTTGATCAGTGATGCTTAAGGAAAAATAGGCCTCACATTTTTTTTTGAAGTGAATAAAGTCAAGCACCTTCCTCTGTATGTCAGGAGCTGCACTGGCAGGAAAACTACGGAGCAATATCTAGACAAGATTGCACAGGAATGGATCGATTCACCTGTCTTATATCCAAAACCTGTAGACGCAATCCTTTATATAAAACATTGTGCAAAAGATCTCAAAAATAAGATATTACAAAATGGAACATTTGAACATCTGAACATTCCCATTTCCAATATTCTTCTGTCAAGCAACAAAAACAAAGCTGAGGAAAGAAAACCTATATGCACTGTAAAATAACGCAACATTCACAACTGAAAGACTGGACTGGCATACGTGTGTTTCTGTCTTTGAAAAATAGTCGACAACTGAATCTAACGTCCAACTTGATGAACACTTTTAAAGATGCGAGCAAAACATCTGCACTACTACACGCTTTATCATTTGGCCATACTTGATTCGAAATACAAAAAACTAGAGCACTTTCCATGTACAATAAAATACGAAACATTGCCTTAGGTAATTTAGTCATCATTGAAGCATTAACTTACTCATGGACAGGAAACCAGTGTTCATAGTTAACAATTTACAGTCAAACCTTTATGGATCCGGAACATTTATGCATTGATGACTCATCTTTTGTGAATAGTTGAAGGATTTTCACATTACTGGATGACTACTGGACTAATTTTCACAACTGGCCAGCTTGTAAAACTTCTAAAACGACCGAATCGGCTACAAACTGTCAATTGGTGTCACTGCCGTTGAAATGGACCGACAGGAGATTCTTAAAACAGAACCAAGACTTTCATTAAGACTCCATTCATTTTTTCTGCACAACCACAGAGCTGAATGAATGTCAGTTATAGTAAACATCACATTTCTTTAGGCTTGTCTTTACATTCAGACCTGGGTGCTGATTTGTGCCATATGCTGCAGGGTTTTAATTCCCTCAATTTAAGATGCAAATTCACTTAAGGGATTTAAAAACTGGAAGTCTGTTGTCATCAAAGGGCTTTAATGGCAAAAGACGGAGAAGTAAGGCTTACACCCCTATAACAGTTTTAATGGACGTGCTCCAGTGACCTGAATTAACCCCAGCATTTTGCTGTTGTTGTGTCAAACACCTCGTTGCGAAAATAACTTCGTGGTTTGCTTGTGTTGGAAGTTGTGTTGTGACTTGGGGTAATCATCTTCGAACACTCTTGCATTATAGTGGCCCGTCCCTCTGATATATATGCATGTAAATGAATGCAAAGGCACACACACAGACGATTTCCACACACTTCACACACTCGTCCCTGCGTCGGGAGGCTGGCCTGCCTGATTGTATTCAGTAAAAATATGCATCTGAACAAGAGAAAGGCTGAAGCCTCACAGCAGTTTCCCCGGATAAACATTAATGCGGCCGAGTCAACAACTGTGAGTATGAACTTGATAAAAAATAAGAAGTGTGTCAGGTGAGTGTGTGTGTGTGTGTTACTGAACCAGGTGTGTTTATCTTTCAGGATGAAGAAGAAGAGCCTTTCCCTTTTATCTGTTCCCCAGGTGCTGTTTCAAAGGCACGTCCCTGCTCTGCCTGGGAGTAAATGACCAAAATAAGTGACTGTAGGCACAGCTGGATAGACTGATGCACATTCGCACAATGACAACAAACACACTGCCACTGGTACAGCAGGTACTGTAGCTCCCTCTCACCATCATGGGTTTTGTTTTCATAGAACATGTTACTTTTGTATCCTAATGTTCCCAACAAAAGCTGAACCTGAGGAAAACTATAGATGTTCGATGCACAGACAACATCCACACGCACGCACATACAAGTACATCTTACGTCTGCTCCTTTTGTCAAAACTTTGATTGTCTCTCAAAGCTGGCTTCTGATCATTCTTGCTGTTCTGTGTGTTTTGTGTGGCCTCCTGGTTGATATCTGTCAGATTGCTAAAGAGGCATTGGAAAAATACAGTGTGACTGGCAGCACATTTACAAATCATGACATTTCCACTGGTCACCACTAGAGGGCACTGAAAGCAACACAACAGCAGGCTTGGGCACCACAAAATACAACATAACACAGAATAAAAAGCATATAGTCAGGCTTTAGCCAGAATTAAGAACAAAAACCATTTAAATAATATAGCTAGTGACTGCTTTGAGGAACTAAACACTGATGTCAGTTGTACTGTACGAATAGAACAACTTATTTATTGGAATTATAATACAAGGAAATAAATTAACCTGTCAAAAAAAGACTCCAATTTTTCCCTCACTAAAAAGTCTCTGTCATGTATTGTCAGCTGGCTCTCTGTGTTCCAGGCAGTGGGATGATGAGCGGAGTCCTCCCTCTCCTTTTTCACTATAGCAGGATGTGCGGTGGAAAAGGATGAAGGCTCTTGTGCAGCAGAGATCGGTGGTAAGTGTACCCTTTAAATCATCTTTTCCCCCTTCAAGCTTCTTCCCAGAGAAAACGTTCCCTTTTTTGGAGAAAGACAGGAGTCCTGACTTCTTTCTATTGCTTATAAGACACATAAAATTGGGATAGACCAAAGCACTCTTGATCAGTCCTGTTCTATGGCACCGCTTGCCAATGGCTTTTAAATATACTCCTCTGTAAGGTTTGTGCTGTAGAGATAGAAAGAATGCTGTAATCCACATCTGAGAGACACAGGGGGGGAAAAAAAAAAAGTTCAAATCCAGGTTTCAACCATATTGGTGGCTGTGGGTGGAACAGCCACAGTGGTTGTTCAGTGGTTTCATCTTCAGGTGACGAAATTCTTTACTCCATTTACACGAGAAGAACGTGAAAACTTCTTACGTCGTCTGGTGCTGTGGCTCCAGATTTATTGTGTGTTTGTTTGTGTTCCAGCAAACACATAATGGCTGGCCTAGGTTTGTTTGCGTACCTGTCTGACTTTGCGTGTCATTTCAAAGACCTCTTCTTTTACATCCCCTGGATGTCTCTGAGACCCCCTGCTGTCGTAGGTTTGATTTGGCACAAAAGACTTTCAGAGCAGCTGGCCATCGTTTGGAAAAAAAAAAAATAGGTGAAAAACGAACAATAAAGAAATGCAAAAGACCAAACATTGTCCTAAAAAGAGAAGCACATCCACTGAGGAAAGATGGCAGGAGGGGAGAGTATTTATGTTCACCTCTGGAATAACTGCAACAGGAAAAGTCGACTTCTTAAGAAAGTGAAGGAGGAGAGGAGCTTCCTCCTAGTTGGCAATTTGCAGAAAAAAATTTGTCACATGAGGAAAAGATCAATTCAACAACTCTCTTGGCCCCACAGGAGAGTAGAGATCAGTTTCTTGACTTGATGAGTGACATCCATTTTTATCCTTTGAAGTTTAACAGAGGGTCTGTGGAGACTGAGCCTGGTCGACAGTGTAACTTACTGGTGTTTGAAGCCAATGGGTTGACAGGTTCAGCATAAGGCTAATGAAGCTCAACAAGTCTCCATTTTCTGCACAAATTTGTTGTTAGTGTCGACCCACCCCTGCATCTTTGCCTAGACTGTGTGCTGATGTACTGTGTGTGCATGTGTGTGAGTTAAAATGTGCAGGTGGGAGTCAGTTCATGTCAATGGTGTTGAAGACCCACTCGGTGAACTTCTTGAGCTTAGCAGCTGAGGTTTGGGACTCCTCCTGCAATCTCTGGTTATCTTCCCATAGCCTCTTGATCTGAGTCTGAAGCCGCAGCTTTTCTTCCCGCTCCTGTAAAAGACAGAGAAAGATTGGTTGAAATTATTAAATTAAACCAGTTGTTAGCAGTTGGATGCTTTGCTGAGACAAAGGCTCAAAAGCACAATAAAAGTAAAGCTCAAGTTTGGTGCATAAATGTGAATATTGATGGTCAAACTAGCCAGTTAAAGAAAACGCTAAAAGAAACTGTATAAATCTGGAGGGAGCCGCTTCATGCTGTCAGTCAGC